CAGCAGTCCTGGATCGTAAGAAGGCAGTTGGACATCCCTCAAGGGGTCCCAGATTGGAGAGGATGTGGGCTGGGCTGAGGGACACAGCCCCTGCCCCTTTCCTCCCCTCCCATGTATGAATTTCGTGCACTAGGCCTCTAGTTGAAAATAATGTTCTGATCCTGGCTGGTGTGGCTCAGTTGGTTGAGTGTTGTCCTGTGCACCGAAAGATCACTTGTTCAGTTCCTGGTCAGGGCACATACCCAGATTGTGGGTTGGATCCCAGTCATGTGCCAGAGGCAACCAAATGATATTTCTCTTCCTCCCTCCCTCCCTCTTCCTCCCACTGTCTCTAAAAACATATTTTCAAAAAAAGAAAGAAAAACGTTCTGAGGATAATACAGGGATAATTTTTATGTTGCTTTATAGGACCAACAGATGCCTACCTTTTTGATAATTAAAGCATATATTTAATTTTTTTCTAACAGTTAAAATTTTCATGGCTTTAATTTCCCTTTCAAATGTGCAGTCATTATTTACATCTTATGTCATTCATATTAATTAAAATTATTTTCCCCTTAAAATATTGTTATGAAAACCAAAATACAATGAGTCCCGGCTTTTTGTTCAAGTTGTTAAGAGCAACCTGGCTTGCAATCCAGAGAGGGAAGGATGAATCACTGTCCTCTTCTCACACAAGAAGCTCATGGGCCTGAAATATTTATAATAAGGGCAGGTCACGGGTAAGTGCACTGCAGGGTGATGGTATGTATGCAATTAGCCGGATGCACAGCCTAATGATATATAGACAGAGTGACAGTTGCAAATAACATAAGCCTCTGAAGCTAAAATATACATCTTCCAAACGTTTCAGAATGTCTGCCAATAGCAGTCATCGCAGTACTGGTTCTAAGGGACCTCCCTTCATAAAAGTGAGTGGCTGGCTCGTTCTACCCATCTGAACGGTGCTCCGGGCTCTAGTTTCCCTTGGGAAAGATTATGGGGGTTGGAAAATTCGAGAGCATTGGGGGAGGGAGATAGACTGAAAGAAAATGTATTAAGAATTCTAGGAAGCCAATCAGAACACCACCACTGGGACCCCCACGCTGCTCATGGTGTGATGACACGGGCAGATCCTGGATCATGGTTCATACCCCAGCTTTACCCCTTTGGATGACTTAGCAGAGACACCTGCTCTAGAGACATGGAGAGGCCGAGTCTCTTCCCTTCACAGGGAAGCTGTGAAGGTAACTCCCTGGTTTTAGCTCCTGCACACACATCCCCACTCCCACTCCAAGGAATGTCCTCTCTTCTGGAGCTGTTGTCACTGAAGATGGGACAAGGAAGCCTTTTCCTTCCTCAGGACCATACATCTGCCTTTAGCATGTTTATTCGACTCAAGGTGTTTATTAATCTTTTTCAGTTATCTTTATAATATTTTGAATAATTTATGCTGGGCTTTTAGCTTTCATAGACTCCATCTCAGATATCTCAGATTCTTTTTGCCGTATAAAATGAAAATGCGTGCACTTTCCCACCCTCAATTAATCTTGCTACTTGTCTGTAAAGAAGATTCTGTTGTGATGGGAATGGGGGGATGAGGACAAATATGTGATACCTTAGTCAATAAAGAAATTTTTAAAAAGAGAACATTCTGTTTTTCATCTGGAAACACTAGTGAGATACGACTGTTTCCTCAGTTTACTGAGCTGCATTCTTCCTCTCCATCATGGATGTGTATTGTGTCCATTTAGCTAAGCTGAGACTGCATTTCCCAGAATTCTGTTCCTTGCACAGTTAGCTTGGGTCAGAAGAGAAATTTTGTTTGAGACTCAGAAGGCAGAAGGGAGGCAGCCATATTCTCTTTGTGCTCAAAGGCTGATCCTGGCACATGTCATTGCAGATCTGGGGTCTCCCCTGGTTGCTGTGGGGCACCCCCAACTCCTCCAGATCCTGCCAGGTCTCCTATGTCAGCTTCTCTGGCCCCGGGGCCAGCTGCCTTCTTCTCCGTGGGAGAGAGTCACCAGCATATCCTGCAGATCACCTGCATCACAGACCTGGAGGCTTGTAGGTAGCTGAGAGTCCAATTTGAGGCCCAGACATCCTTGCAGGTTCTGCGTCATTCTTTTTTCTCTTTTTTTTTTTTTAAATATGTTTTATTGATTTTTTACAGAGAGGAAGAGAGAGGGATAGAAAGTCAGAAACATCGATGAGAGAATCATCGATCAGCTGCCTCCTACACATCCCCTGCTGGGGATGTGCCCGCAACCAAGGTACAAGCCCTTGACTGGAATCGAACCCGGGACCTTTCAGTCCACAGACCGAAGCTCTATCCATTGAGCCAAACCGGTTTTGGAGGTTCTGCCTCATTCTTACACGTGTCTGTGCTTCCCCACTTTGTGTCACCTTTCCTTCCCAACTGCCTGACTTTGAACTTCAAGCCCCAGTTCCAGAGGCAGGAGCAAAGCCTCACAGAGACTGTTTCATCAGCTCCCACAACCAAATAAAGATCAAATCTCTAAAATGAGTTCCTCATGATGTAACTCCTAGTGATTGTGCTTCTCCGGTAAAACTTTACAGTTACTGTTAACTTTACCTGGCTGGGTGCATTGGACAAGTAAAGGAACAAGGATTTATGCTACAACCGTGAAGTTTGAGGTTACCTGTCCCTCAGTCTCACCTGGATGGGAGATCCCCAATCACACTTAGCACATTTCTATTTGGGTCACACACCTGGAAGGTGTACCGATAGTGTCATCTGCTTCCCTTCTTGTGCTCAGAGCAGCTAAAATTTTTCAGCAACTTTGCTTTAGGTTCTGTGCAGTGAGCATTGAGTGGCAAGTATATAACCTTCACCTTTGGGAATGCCCAGCTGCCAGTCTTTCATTAGCGCTAGGCCCATGGTCGGCAAACTGTGGCTCAAGAGCCACATGCAGCTCTTTGGCCCCTTGAGTGTGGCTCTTCCACAAAATACCACGGTTGAGGCGAATCTATTTTGAAGAAATGGTGTTAGAAGAAGTTTAAGTTTAAAAAATTTGGCTCTCAAAAGAAATTTCAATCATTATACTGTTGATATTTGGCTCTGTTGACTAATGAGTTTGCCCACCACTGGGCTAGGCAGCTCAGGGTGTACCAAGACTCCCTGATCTACCCAATCGGCCTCCCCACATTATAGGGTGTATTAAGAAAAATTCTTGCCCCCTTGGAGTGGCTCAGTGGGTTGATTGTCGTCCTGTGCACTGAAAAGTTGCTGGTTCAATTCCCGGCCAGGGCGCATACCTGGGTTGTGGGTTCAATGTTTCTCTCTTTCATTAATGTTTCTCTTTCTCTCTCTCTCCCTTCCAAGCCTTCTTAGGAATGACGCTCTATCCACTGAGCCAAATCTCTTGGGCAGCCAAGCGATGAGAGTTTATTTGACCCTTCTACATGGGTGGGTCTGTTGATATGAAAGGATATGCTTTCAATTATGAGAACTTCCCAGAAGCCACAAAACTACATTTTGGTTTCAAGCATGTTTATACACAGAGAACTGGTGAGATCTGGAAAACGCTCTAGGAAATCTCGGTATGGTTCCCAGCCATGAACTTTCCCGAATATAATGCTTTTGTTTTTTAAAGCATAAGCGTTTCTTTTGGATCAGACTTAGATATACGGGTCGTGACTTGTACAAGATCTTAAATAACCCTAAACCTCAATGAATAAGAGCCCTTTCCAAACACAGCTGTTTAACCACGGAGATTACCGGTGTTCTTTTTATGAGGGAAGGAAAGGAGATGTTTCAGAAATCTGTTTTCTTTCTTCTGCAGTTTATTTTTTACTCTCTCCAAGGATGGAGGCTTATTTTTTGTTAACTCCAAATATCCATTCTTGAAGTGATTTTTGGGTGGTCTTGCTACCCTTATCATCTTTACCCTGCAGCTAAATTATGCCGGGTCCACTTCGTATGAGTTCAAGCAAATATCAGCCCAGCTGGCCCTGCGGTGTTCAACTATATAATCCTGGCGGGAAAAAGGTCACAAAATGGAAGCCAAACATTACCCGAAAAAAGGACACTACATCTTTTGATGTTATTTTTCCACATGAAGTTGATGAGTGTGGATCATTATAGCCTTGAGTGTCCCTGGCCATCGCAGTGTGGGGATACTCAGGGGCTCATGCATGTAGGGGTGTTGGGTTGTTCACACATATTACCTACCTTGTACCCATCTGAGTTCAATAATAACTAAGAGCTAGACACAGGTATCAGATAAATGAAGATTAAAAATGCTGGCTTTTGCCGAAACTGGTTTGGCTCAGTGGATAGAGCGTCGGCCTGCGGACTGAAAGGTCCCGGGTTCGGTTCCAGTCAAGGGCATGTACCTTAGTTGCGGGCACTGCCCCAGTAGGGGGTGTGCAGGAGGCCCTCTCTCTCATCAATGTTTCTGACTCTCTATCCCTCTCTCTTCCTCTCTGTAAAAAATCAATAAAATATATATTTTTAAAAAATGTTGGCTTTCTAACGGAGAAAGGCTGTTAGAAGACATAGCTTAGTTGTACAACAATAGGCGTATCCCAGATTGTGGCCAGTCACAGGCACAGCTGCACAATCTCAGCCCTTACACACGGGGTCAGGAACTGTCCACTAAGCTTCCGGCATGATGAGGAAGAGATGAGTCAGGAGATCCCAAAGGAGTGGAGAGAGAAAAGGAAGGGGCTGAGCATGCCCAGTTCCTCTCTTCAAAATACCCCGTTAGAGAAGTCACCACTCCTCTCATGGGAAGAGGAGAGTAAGGGGTGGGGAGAGAGGCCATGATGTTATCCTAGGGAATCTCCTCCCCATGGATACCGCTCCCCTTCCCGGACTCTGCTGCTTTCCCCTACCAGGTTCCGCCATGGCTTCTGGAGCCTGCAAGGAACCCACAGTGGCCCAATCATCTTTAACAGAGCAGGAGAGAATATTTTATTCTTTTTACATTTTTGCGATGGCATCTTGCTAACAGAATCTCAATATATATATATATATATATATATATATATATATATATATATATGCCTTTCTCCCACTCCCCTCTTGGTGCCTTGGATTGGAAATGATGGAGTTATAGCCATCTTGAAATCATGAGGAGTCAAGGATGAAAACTGGCACATAAAGGATGGAGCAGCAGATACAAAGACCAGGTGCCTGGTGGTAAGGTTGATTAGCTGAGCTAACGAAGCATTGGCCTACTCCTGGGTTTCCTGTTATTTGGAGAGGCGGGGGGACAAAATAGAAAGACATTTGCACAAGACACTTTAAAATGGGTTTGCTGTTACTTGCTGATATTTGGGATTTGAAGTGATAGCAACCCTGTTTCCTCAAGCAGCTTCAGGGGGGACCTTCGTGAAGTAGGAAAGGATGATGGAAGCTCCTTACCCTGTGTCTCCCCTCATCCTCCAGCCAACCCAAGCACCCAAACTAACACCAGTCAGCACAGGGATGACACAGGTGTGGTCATTTCATCCCTGCTCCTCATCGTTTATTAACACTGTGGGGCAGAGCTGCCATAGCAAGCCAAGGGATTCACCAGCTCAGGGTCCATCCTCCTGGCTTTCTTGTTTAACCTAAAAGTCAGCTAATTTGCTGTGTCATTTACCATTTAGAAAAAAAATAGGATAAGTGGGAGCTGTGTTGCAAATAAAGTATCCATTTATAACAAACTATTTTGTCACCAATTTCTCCCGCTTTGGCAATCAATTCCCTTCTCAGCAAACTCAATAACTCATTATCATCTTCAAAATCAGATTTGTATTGAGTACAGACAGAGGACAAGTTGAAGGGACTCTCAATACTAGATCAATAAAGAAATCACATTCTCACCCCCATTCTCAAATCCCAGGGAGCTCCACTTTACACAATTTAGCAGTATTCCAGGCTAATGAAGGAAGTATCTCAAGAGGGAGAAAAACAACTGTCCTATCATAACCTAAATGACTGCTTCCTGAGACATACAGACTTGCAAAAGTTTACAAGCCAAGAAGGATGTCTCGATTCTTGTCTTATTTTAATCTAAAATATTAAATAATATTTTTTCTACCAATAAACATAAACTATTGTCATTGTCTCATGCACCCAAAGTGACTATCTAGTTTAAAATTCTCCTAGTGATATATATTTGAAAAATTTACCAAAACCTCACTAGCATGGTGCTAATTCTTTACATGCTTCTCTTTTTCTTTTTGTTGATTCACCATAAAATGTTTCATTGAATATTATTTCTATTCTTTTCTTTTTTCCTGCCTAGGAGACCAAGAGGTTAAACTAGACAGGATGAATCTTCTATGGCCATAGTTGGGGAAAGATAGTTTCTTACTCAGAGCTGAGTTAAACTAAAATGCTAATAGTCATTTAAAGATTGAAAGAGATTTATACATACGACCTGTTTTTTTTCTAACTATAAATTGAAAATTTGATAATTAGGATAAAGCAATTACAATCTTTCATTTTACATTTATTTATTTATTTTAATCCTTACCCAAGGATATATCTTTTTTAAATTATTTTTTAGAGAGAGAGGAAGGGAGAAACATCAATTGCTTGCCTCCCATATGTGCCCTGACTGGAGATTGAACCCACAACCTGGGTATGTGCCCTGACCGGAATCAAACCCCTTTTGGTGTACATGACCATGCTCCATCTGACAGCCATCCAGCCAGGGCTATTGTTTTACTTTTAGTGAGTGGAAGTTTGATAGTACTGGCACAGTGTGTGAGGGAAGGAAAGGGTCCCAAGAGGTCGTGAGAGTGTGGAGAACTAAGACAGGAATACAGAGATAAATATACAGCCACGGTTTGGGGAGTGCACAGAGGTCAGAGCACGAAGAAGCATGCTAATCCAGCAGATGGGGGGGACACTGGGAACAAGGGCTTGCAGGCAGTTGGCTCTCATGAGCTCCTGAGCAAGGCGGAGACAAACAAGACTTGTTCAAGGCAGAAGGAAGAACAGATTGTTCCTCTGATTGTTACTTCCAAGGTGTTTTCTTACTGTTTCTGCTTGAGTGAATTATGTAGTCACATCCTAAAATGTGCATTTGTAATTATAATGTTGATTTATTCATTCATTCCACAAATATTTATTGAGCACCTCCTATGTACCAAGCATTGTTGTAAGCCTTGGGGTGCAGCATTAAACACAAAAGACAACAGTCTTTAACCAGAGAGGAAGGTTAGCTATTGTGAAGAAATAAAAAGAAGGGTCAGGACAGAGAGAATCTCTGAAAGAGGGAATCTCTCCCCTATAGCAGGTTGGAAAGACTTCTCTGATGAGGTGACATTTGCATGGAACCTGGATGAAGTGAGGAAATGAGACATGCAAATATCCGGGGGAATGGTTTTCCACAGAGTGAAGAGAAAGAGAAGTGCTGAGACCTGAGCAAAATGAATGTGTTGGAAAAAAGAACAAGTTCAGTGTGGCTGGAGCGAGGGAGAGAGTAGTAAGAGACTGATTGGAGAGAAACCTGGGAGCAGGATCCCACAGGCTCTCCTAGGCCAAGGTCAGAACTTGGGATTGTGTTCCCAGTATGAAGAAAGGTGATTGGGTTTGCAAGGACATATATATATTATTGATCTCTTATAGAGAGAAAGGGAGAGAGATAGAGAGTTAGAAACATTGATGAGAGAGAAACATAGATCAGCTGCCTCCTGCACACCTCCTACTGAGGATGTGTCCAGAACCAAGGTATATGCCCTTGACCGGAATTGAACCTAGGACCCTTCAGTCCGCAGGCTGACGCTCTATCCACCAAGTCAAACCAGTTTCGGCAGGACTTCCATTTTAAAGGAATCACGAGTTGTTCTTTGGAGAATAGATTTACTGAGGATGCTAGAGAAAAGGGTGAAAGCTGAGACCAGTTGGAGATTATTGCGATAGTTTAGGTGAGAGGTGCTAGGGTTCCGACTAAGGTAGAGGTGATGGAGCTGGTGAATAGCTGCTAGATTCTGGATAACTTTGCAGACTAGAGCGGACAGAATTTCCTGGATTAAATGTTGCCTGTAAGGAAAGGAAAGGTGGAATCCGGGATGTCTCCTGGTCTTGCCTAGGTGAATCTGCAGTGCCTTTTACTGCACTTTGGAACACTGCGGGAGGGACAGGCTTGGAGGAGGAAGTTCAGGTCTCTTACTAAGTCGGAGATCAAGTTGTCCAAGTGAAAATGTGGAGTTGGCAGTTGAATGTATTCGTTTGGAGTTCAGATCGGAGAGCGGATTGGAGGTATAATTTTAGAATCACCAGCAGGTAGGTAGTATTGAAAGCCTGGATGAGATCATCAAGAGAGCGAAAGCAGGTGGAGAAGAGAAGAGGCTCTTTCACAGGAGGGTCTGGGAAGATGAGGAGGATCCAGCAAAGATAAGGAGGAGTGGCCAGAGAAGGCGGAAGAGACCCAGGTGAGCTCAGAGTCCTGGAAGCGAGCTGAGGAAACTGTTTTGAGAGCTGTTTCAATGAACCACGTCAAATGCTACCAAAAGGTCTAGGGGGATGAAGACTAAGAATTGACCTGCCAGTATGCTCTGATGCTTGGTAAACTGCCAAGTGAATAAATTGCATAAAGAGCCTCTGACAGCAATCCCAGCCCAGCCGGTGTGGCTCGGTGGTTTAGCATCGACCTGTGTACCAGGGCACAAGCCTGGGTTGTACCAGGGCACAAGCCTGGGTTGTGGATTCAATCCCCAGTAGGGGGTGTGCAGGAGGCAGCCAATCAATGATTCTCTCTTATTATTGATGTTTCTGTCTCTCTCTTCCTCTCTGAGATCAATAAAAATACATTTTTTAAAAATAAGGAATTCCCAGCAACCATCTCTCTCTCCCTGGACTATTTCCAAGTGTGACACTGGCAAGATTTAGATCTGTCTTTCTGTAAGTAAGGACTAGTTGGCCGGTAGGAGGATGTCCCACAGGCTTTTGTAATTCCTTATCCGAGATGTAGGCTCGGGTCTTCCTGTGGTTGCTCTGAGGATTAGATGGATAATAATGCAAAGTATGAGGCACAGGGTCTGATGCATGCCATCGCTCCAAAATGTCGGTGTTAGTGATTATTGTAAGCCCCGTGAGTCTCCTTTAGTTTTTAGCTCTCATTTCAGGCTGTTGCTTAGCAGTGTTCCAAAGATTAGCACAAGTTTTCTGGATATGATTGAAAGTAATCCTAACACCTTAGAGCTGAAAGGACTGTAGAGATTACTTATTCCATCCTCTCAGCTTGACATATAAGAAAACAGAGACCTTTCAAGAGTAGATGACATTCTCAAGGTCCCTCACGAGGCAAGAACACAGGTCTCCCAGAACACAGGTCTCCCAAGCGTTGAATCCTCTGGAATTAGTTACAACAAAGTTCAAGGATAAAAAATAGAGTCTTCCATGCTAGGGGACCTGTTTAGATAACTTGTTTAGATAGCTTGTTTCTTTTAACCACCAAACTAATGACAACCATGATGATCATCATTATCCTCTTGATTAAAATCCTCTACTGCTTTTTATTAAAACACTTTTCCTGCACAATGGAGTCTTTTTAGTCTAGAAGAGTTGAATCCTTAAAGTTGGATTTTATTGATACCCCCCCCCTTTTTTTTTTTTTACCAGCTGCTTTTAGCTTTGAGCAGTCCCTTTGACTTGTAAAGTAAGTGACAGTATTGGCAAATTGATTACTTGTTATTGTTCAAAAAGTCAGAAATCTAAGGAGTTAAGAACAGCCACGAGCACACAGTTCTACATTTATTATTACAAGATTACAAGAGTACATCTTGTACTTGGGATTACAAGAGTACATCTATTATACATTATGGATACATGTGGAATTGTAAATGTATTACTATGCAGATTTCAGTGCACATCTCAAATCTGAAACTCACGGAGAGAGTAATCTTCAATGGGTGTTCTCTTTCCATCAGCAGCTCAATGTCTACATGGAGCTCATGTATATATTTAGTCACTAACACAGTTTGTATTTCTGGTGCATTTTTCTATAAGGAAATTCTGAACATTGCTTCATGAAACACCCACATATTCCTGTGAGAGATGAGAAGTCAGGTAGTATTATTCCTATTCTATAAAGGAGAAAATTAACATCCCAATGTTGATTTTGAAGTGACGAAGCCAGACTGAATTCTATGTGATTAAAAATCCTGCAGTCCCAAGGGTAAAACTAGGGTCTATAAGGAGAAATTCCAAGGCAGTGGATTTTATTCCACCCAATGGAGAAGATGACCTGAATTCAGAGTGGTCCAGAAATGGCAGGGTTGGCACCTGAGGGGGATTGTCATATACCCAGAGGACCTATGTGAACAGGAACAAGGTCCCTTTTTCTCTTCTCCTTTTCATCAGGCAACCTTTTAGACTCACCCTGGAGTCTGAATTTAGCCCTCAGTATTCTCGGCTGTTCCAGGAATAGAGCCTGCCAGAGAGTAAAGTCTGATTCCTGATGCTCCCAAATCCACCCTCACTTTTCCCATCACTCGTGACCACAGGCTTAGCCTCTGCCTGCCTCCAAGGTCACGTGGCCTCCTTTGCTACAACAACCGTGAATCTATCACATTTCACTGTTAAATGCAAACTGCCAGACACTCACATTTTATCCCATCTTGTTAGAGCAACTGAGCTGTGCATTTCTAGAGCGGGGAGTAGCAAACAACAGAGCAGCCAAGGAATCCTTCTTGTCCTATCGATAGGTTTTGGTGCCTGGGAGTGATGAGAGATATTGTTGGATGTTGGTCATATGGGATGTTCTGGAGGAATAGCTGACATCTGGATAATGACAGGGTGGTTGGGAGGATTAAAATGAAATGATTACGGCACTTGACAATAAAAACACATGTAAAGTGCTTACCATAGAACTTGTTCAATAAATGAGAGTGTGGTTGTTATGGTTAGTGTTTGTAGGTTAGCTGGTAGAATTTGGAAAGTGTTAGTAATGGATTGGACAGAGGTTTCTCCAATTATAACAATCTTATTCATTCATTCATTTACTCACTCACAAAATTTCCTGTGTACTAGGCACTGTGCTAGGCAAAGAGGTAAACAAGAAAGAATAGTCCCTACCCTCACAAGCCTTAGAGTCTAGGGAGGAGTACAGATCAGCAGAATTCAAATGTCATGTCCACCTTCATTCTTGTCCTGCTACCATGAATGCAAACCTCTACACTTCTTTTCCTCTTCCTAAAATAAATTCACTCTATTAGGCCAGGAAGAAAAGGATATTTTACTGAGGAATGCATAGGGGAAAGGATTTATACTTTACAACTCACAAAATTTCTCTCCAAAATTCCCCATAAACATCTTTGTCCTCCCCACATCAACCCTTAATCTCCTCACCCGACTCTACCTCCAGTCTCCCAGGGTCTGCCCTGCAAACACTTTATGGCTCTTCCAGACGACTTAAATCTTACATCTCAGATGTCCAGGTCCTCCCATTAGCAAGATATCCCCTCCTTGGAAGATAGCCAGGGGATGATAAATACACTACTTTTTTTTTTTTTCCTTCTGATCCTGCAATCGAACAGGAAGATCTATGGGGTATGATCCCAGCGGAAGAAGAAGACTGCACAAAGGGAAAAGACTGCACACCTGGAACAAGTGACATCCGAACTAGGGTGGGCCATCTGGCTGCCTCCTTGGTGTCCAGGGTTCAGTTCTTGGTGATGACCCTGATTTTCCAGTGGAGGTTGGATAGAGGGAATACTCATACCTTCCACAGGAAGCCCACATGTTTTTTTTGGGACACAATTCTACAATGCCTTCCTCCCCCTGCAACTCAAGTCTAAGCCACATAGCATAATTTCATCCCCCAGCCATAGCTGTTGGTTCAGAGGTGAGCAATATTGGTTCAGAGGTGGAAAAGATGTGGAAAAGAGAGGCGTAGAAGGGGGGGGGGGGGGAGGAGGCCTGGGAAAGAAACACTAACGTTGCTTGAATGAACAGGAATAAGGAAACATATAGGCTTACTCGCTACAGTTGGCCATCTGATCACCCCAAGGATCCTAGCCTCAGCAGGAAGCCTATCGTGCCCAGCAGACTGAAAAGTGAAAAAGAAATCCAACGCTCCCTTACTTGGTAGAGATACCAAAATACAACCCCAGGGATGTGAGCCTCTCTTGTCAAAGGCAGTTTGGCTTCCATTTGTGGTGACTTACCATCAAACTCAACCTAACTGATATAGGAGTGAGATTTGATAAATAAGGAGACAAGAGCGCAGACAGAGAAATGGGCAGGCAAACCCCAGATCTTGCAGCGCAGAGCCCATCAGAATCATTCGAACTCGCCAATCCCAAACCGTCTATTCTGCCTTGCCTTTGCCTTTCCCGTGAAAACCCAATGAAGACACTGACCCAGGTCTCTCCCAACTCCAGCTTCTGATCAAAGCCAGACGCGTCTCCCCGGGCCTGCGTGGCATGGCCAGCCCTCTTCAATCAGGAAGTGCAAGGACTAAATTCTTTTCTCAGTGGCTTTGATCTCTCCATGACATCACGTCACTCTATAAATTAAAAACCCACAGTTACGTTTCAGGAAAACTACTAATCTCTGGACTTCTTGTTAAGTGAAAAGAATAAGCCCCTGATTTATTTAAGCCACTGTTGTTTAGATTTCTGTTACTTGCAGTCATATACTCATAACTGATACAAGGAATACTTGATAAGCGGTATCGATTTTAAACATAGCTAAGTACTCAATGTATTCCAAATGTATGAATGAGCTAATTTTTTATTAGGAGAAAAGTACAGCACAGAATACTGAATAAAAGATTTGGCAGGTCTGCAAAGAAGAACTTTTTTTCCCCCTTGAAACTTTATAAGGAATCATAAAGAAAGAGATAGGTAAAAGCATACATAAATTTTAAACTTCCGAACAATGAAAAACAGTAAGACGTAAGAAAACAAAAGGTAGAATATTAAGGAATATGTCAAATTTGGCAGACTACAGGGTCATCAATAAAATATAAAAGGTTCTTATTCAAATTTATTAGCTATATATTTCTTTACTCTGATAGATAAATAGGCCAAGAATATGAACAAGCTGTTCCCCAAGGAGAAATAGAAACAGTAAATAAAAAACTGAGAAAATGTTCGGCCCTGGGAGTGATGAAAGGAATGCAAATGGAAGCAACCTGGAAATGTCATGTGACACCTACTAAGTTGGCATTTTTAAAAATGATGGGCTAGAAAGGTGACAGCGATATTGGCACATTCATTTCAGGTGGCGCTACGGATTAGTACGACCTCAGAGAAAGCATTGTGGCAAGCATGGAGACACACCTCTGCCTTTTGGCCCAGTCATTCCGGTTTTTGCAGCTAGCACTAAGGAAAATAACTCAGCAGAGGCACTCAGAGCACTGCTCTTCGGAGTCTTGGCAATTAGGTTCAATTAACAGATCTTTTACACCTTCCACCTGCCAAACCGGGCAATAGGAAATCAGAAATCGAAAAGACACTGTATCCAGCCTCAGAAGGTTCCCAGGCCGGCAGAGGCTCAGGTAGGTAAATAAATACATTACAAAAGAGCGCAGAAAGTCCAGCCATGCACACAGAGACGGAGTCAGAAGAGCCAGGTTTTGATGACGGCCGTGAGCAGAAAGCAGTCAGGGCTGAGAGAAGGCGTATGAGGGAACAAGGGGAACCTCTGGAACGAAAGGCACAGAGAGTTAACGTGGGGCAGTGGGCAGCCCGGCACGGTGGGAACAGAGATTCCGGGAGGAAGTGTGTGGATAACAAAGGTTGGTGGCAGCGTGGAAAGAGAGCGTTATTGCCCTGGCTTGACATCTCTAATAGCAAAAAAAAATAGAATTAAATTAAATTAAATTAAATTAATAAAAGGAACATTCCTTAAGTCACCACCATTGCAAAGATCTCTTCATGAATGATGGTACACAGTGGGCCTTTGTCCCACCAGACGAATGACAGGAATGAAAAGTGCATAAGAGACTTGAAAACATTCACAATATGCAGGCAGGACAGCATCTGGCTTTGACAGCCCTATGCATTGCTCCAAAATTCACCTTTGCTGCTTCTTTTCCTCAACCTCTTTATTGAAATACAATTCACGTGCAACAAAAGCCACCTACTTAAAGTATACAGGTCAATGCCTTTAATACATGCACAAACGTGTGCAGTCACCGCCACGATATAATTCCAGAGCATCTGGTCACCTGGAAAAGGAGCCCCTGGGCAGCCACGCCCCATGGCCCCAGCCGTCGCCAATCACTCCTCTTCCTCCCGCGTCTTGCTCACCCTCCCCTGGCCCTCTGAGAACCCTCCCAGACCCCTGCCTCATCTGCCCCTGGCCGGGGTATGGAGGGGCAACAGCTCTCCGGAGCTCTGGCTCCAGTGCGGACACCAGACACCGGCCCTCCCCAAGGGCACAGATCTGAACACCAGTCAACACCCCTCTGCCAAAGGCTCAGATGAACACGGGGAACTGAACAGACTCGTGTGCAACTAAAATATCTGCCATGAGAACAGGTAGGTTGCTCTGAGGGGCTCTCAAAGTCACCATCCTAACTGGACACCCCTCCCTGAGGGAGCACCACCTCAGCGCTCAGCTTCCCTCCTTGCTATCTGGAGCCAAGACAGCCGGGGCCAGGGAGAACCAGCATGGTGGTGGGGGGAGTTTGAGGGGGGGGGCAGGAAGCACGCAAAGGAAACCTGGGGGTGCGTTTCCATTTTCCACCCCAGCAGGCCCTCCCTGGAGGCAGGCCCAGCTAGTGTGGGGGCTCGGTATCTGGCCGCCTTCCCCGAGTTCATTATCTCTCTTCCTCTGCAGCCTTATCTCCCGCAGGACGCCTCTCTGTTCCTTTTCCAGGGACATGGGGTGTAAACGCTGCCCTTCTCTCTGGACCTGAGCGCACGGAGTTTCCTTGGCATCTGGGCTGATGACTGTGGTTTCCTGGCCAGCGAAGGAGGATGGTGCACTTTTGCTGGGGAAGTTTGACCTTTTTGTCACCAGGGCGCGTCCTCTTTGGCTGTCTCGGTGGTTGGGAGGACTTGCTCTTCTCAGTGACTCATCGCCCTGTTCCTCCCCGCCTCCTGATAGGCTGTGGAGCGAAGGCAGGGAAGGCCTGGGGTTCAAAGCACAGACCCAGAGGCACCCCCACCCCCAACCCCTAATGTGTGGGAGTCAGGATATGTGGCTTTGGGTGTAACCTCTGTTCTCAGTTCTTTCATTTATAAAGTGAGAGCTGGAATAGAAAGAAAGAGGCCCCAGCAGGACCTGCAAGATTGAAACCCCTAGTTTCTCTGAATAAGTAAGGAGAGGACCAGGTCTCACTGTATAGGAGATATCAGGCCCCAGGATCCTGTGGGAGCCAAGGGGAAGAGAGGGGAGGGAAGGCACAGGAGGAGAGAGGTGGGAACAAGTGGAGGAGGAAAGGGAGCACACAGGGATGAGAAGAGAAAGGAAAGGGAAGGGGACTGGTGAGGAGGGGATGGGTGGACAGGAAGGGAGGGAAGAGGAATGGATGGGAGAAAACAGAAACAGAGAGAGGGCAGGAGGAGAGGAGAATGGCACATGCTAAAGAAGACGAGGAGAAGAGAGCATTTCCCCACGCCTTACTAGATATCAATGCTCCAAACCAACTTCGAGGCAGGGACCAACATTGCGCCTTTACCGTGAGGACCTGGAGTTTCAGAGTCTTCAGGACCCTGTCCCGCCTGTGGCATAAGCGGTACCCCCTGCCCCCGGGGGACTGGATGCAGCCGGACAGGCTTGGAGACAAGCTGGGCTCAGGGACTGACTCTCCGCCTCACTGAGTTCATCGCGGTGTTGAGGTTCAGGGTCAGCCCAGCCAGTTCCGAGACCGGTGTTCTTTCCACGCCACTGGGCCGCAGAAAGAAAACACGGGGAGAAATGAGGAAAGGGATGCCTCTCCACACATGTACTAAGCAATGGGCTGAGAACCCCTCTGAATGGAATCCACGGGCAAAAATAAAAAAATAAAGAAAGAAGGAAGGAAGGAAGGAAAAAAGTAGGCTGAGTTAAGTAAACTCTATTCAGTGCAAGAACAGATTTAAGATAAAATCTCAGAGGCATTCTAGGTGCAGCACGCCTTTTCCATAATTAACATGTCTCCCTGGGCACTGGGCTGGCAAAAACTGTTCCTTATTCCTTAACCGAGATCTAGACTTAACAATCACGCTTTTTACTTCATAGCACATTCACGATCTTTCTAGCATTTTCACACTCATTCTTCCTTTTGACCTTTAATAATAACAACAATCACAGGTAGGAGTTTAGGCTAAGGTGTGGGAGTAAGACCTCAGTGTGATTGCCACACTGCCCCTTAGGAGCTGTGTGACCTTAGGCTGGTTAATTAAACATCCTGAGCTTCAATCTTCTGTCCTCTAACATTTTTTTTTTTAAATCCCCACCCCATCCAAAGAGAAAATACATGCCTAGTGTTACCCAGCACATAGCAAGTGCTCAAGAAATATTAACCAATATTATCTCTCTCCATGTTTGTCGGAAATCTGATTTGGCATTTGAAAACGGGCAGAAAAGAATCCTAGGCCTTCTTTCAGGGCAGTACTGGCCCTGATTTTCTATTGACTTTACAACTCTGTGTGTATGGAGAGCTCTGGTGTGGTGAAGAAGCAAATAGTCTCTGTCCAACAGAGCAGATAAGTACAAAGATTACAGTTTTATCGTCCTGTGGAACATTAACCAGTTTTGTATCTAACTTGGCAATCTTATAATTTTTTTTAAAAAAATTAAATAGTACACACACAAACACACACACAGACACACACACATGCACAATTGCTAATGCTTTTTTGGAACAGTTTTAACATCCTAGTGTTCCCCTCAATAAATAAAACCTTGGACATGTATTCATTTTATATTTTCCCTGGGGATATGATGTTTACCCTCTTAAAAAATTATACTTTAATAACACAGCGATCAGCAAACTCATGAGTCAACAGAGCCAAATAGCAACAGTACAACGATTGAAATTCCTTTTGAGAGTCTAATTTTTAAACTTAAACTTCTTCTAACACCACTTTTCAAAATAGACTCGCCCAGGCCGTGGTATTTTGTGGAAGAGCCACACTCAAGGGACCAAAGAGCCACATGTGGCTCTTGAGCCGCAGTTTGCCGACAAAGGGTTTAACTTATTAGAAGAGAATACAGGTAGGCCTCCCTCATTTACTAAAGGGACTTTGACACTTGAAGAGATTTTGATTCACCCAGGGTTTGGAACAGAATTCGGTTTTCCCAAATTCCAATCCAATTCTTTTGTCCTATCTTATGCCTTTGCTCAAATGATGTGCAAAAGTAGAATAAGCGCAATGACTGTCATCAAGAAGAACACAGCTCCCTCCTCCTCCTGCAGCTTCCGCAGCCTCCAGGCCCCCTTAGCGCCATGGCCCGATCTAACAGGAAGGTGAAGAACCCCACGTGAAGCTGTTTTTTCAATGTTTTGCTTCTCTGAATGGTTTTCAAACCCGTGGAGAAAAAAACGGACACTCTCTAGAGACAACAATGGTCTAACACGGGGATTGAGGGATGTTTAACAGTTCACCGACCTTGTTAATGGGAAATCATTCATTTCATCTACGTTGATTAGGCAGAGAGAGACTGGGTTGGATCTACCTTGGAATTTGAGCAGACCCAGAATCTCTGAAAAGTGTTTTCCTCTTTTCCAGAGGAAAGTAAGCCTTCAGAATGAGAAGGATAATTAAGAAGGAATGCTATGTTAGTGGCTGAACTCTCGGTCATGCTCTGCATGGGGATACCAGTGCAGGCATGACCTTGAATTTCAAAATTGACTTGGGGATAGTAAATGCCATGCTGAAAAGAGCATAGGGTGTGTGTGTGTGTGTGTGTGTGTGTGTGTGTGTGTTGGAGGGAGAGTAAGCAAATAGAAGAACACAAGGAAGTAAATGATCCACTTTCCAGGCTTTGAGATTTCAGTGATCCCTAATTGTCCTGAAAAGTTTTGAGCGAAAGATATAATCATTTTATTTTTGTCAAGTAAATCTATTAGGGGGAAATTTATCAAAACTGTCACCATCATATCATAAAATAAAGGACTTTTAACTTCCAAAAAGTAAAAAAATATGTTAATTTTATGTTTTTGAAAATTGAATAAACTTGGTTTTATGGAAACTTCTTATATTGACTTTATTTCTCCCATTGCATCATGGTCCTTTGGAAATGACAACACCGACATTGTGGGGAACCCTTGACATAAGTGACCAGTCCAAGGTCAATGCACAACCACTGCCAAGTTTTCCCGAGACTGCACTTCTCTACATGTCTATGACCAAGTAAATATTCCGTCGTAGGGTACTGTAATCTTTAGGGAGTAGGTGACTTCAAAAACCTGGCTTTAAAATGTTACTTAAAAATTTTCCCATACATTAACTAATGATAATACTAGGCATCTAAAAACAAGTAAGGTATCTGAAACAAACAAATAAATTCGTGTTTGTATATATGGGTGTGTGTATGTGTATAATGCACTAAGGAAGAAACTGGTGGATCAAAAGATTTTTAATATATAAATGGGTACATACTAATGACTAAAACAACTTGGATCATGATTATGTTACATAGAATACAAAATAGAATTTCTTTTCATTTTACTGTAAATTATTTTTAAAATAAATATTTTTGTAAATTTTGTTTTTGTTGATTGTAGAGAGAGAGAGAGGAATGGAGGGGGGGGGGGAAGAAACATCAATGTGGGAGAAAAACATTGATTAGCTGCCTCCCACACACTTTCTACTGGGGACTGAGCCCAAAACCCAGGTATGTGCCCTGACCAGGAATCAAACCTGTGGCCTCTTGATACATAGGACAATGCTCAACCAATTGAGCAACACTGGCCAGGGCAAAAATAAAATTTTAAAGAATAAAATGAAAGGCACAAATAACAGAGACAATTTAAAAAAATGTTTAGTCTACTAGAGAAACTAAGAAAGAAAACCAAGAGAGGCAGATAATATCAAGCATTATTCACGTTTACTGCTGATCCAATTTATTCAGGAATAATACCCGCATGGGAAGGAGAATATATTTTGAACATGGAAAAGTGAATAATTTCCTTGGATGACTTACTTCATATGGAGAGGAAAGTCTGCTTACAGAGAATGGGTAGG